TCACATGTACCTATGAAACAAATATTATATTAAATTCGTATTATGTTCAAACATTAGAAACGTGTTGGATAAGTGATTATGTAATTTGATTTCAAACCAAGAGGTGATGGTATTGGTTTATCTCCAAAAAATGATTAGCATTCCTCCTCTGAGTCAAAGTAACTCACCGAGTTACTTGAGTTTTAGTAAAAAGGCAAAACGAAAACCAAAAAAAATAATAATAACAAAAAACCGCAAAAAAACCGAACCGCAAAAAACCGCAATAAAAAACCGCAAAAACCGAACCACATAAAAACCGAACGGTGCGGTTTCTAAATTTCAAAAAACCGAAGTTGCGGTTTTCGGTTCGGTTTTGGCCAAAAACCGTACCGAACTGCACCACGCTCACCCCTACTTTATAGGATGAAATAGGCGTGACCTATTAAAATTTGACATGTTTTTTAAATATTTATTATTTAAATGTTTGGATAGCGTAAATAACATTTAAATATTTTATTAATTTTTTGTATTTTGGTATCTCATAATTAAAACACTTTTGTTTTAAAAAAAATTAATTATGCAAATTCATTTTAATAACATAATCTCATTTCCAAATAAAATATAAAACCATATTTGGTTTTATATGAGGCAATTTGGCCTTCGATTTTCTATTCTTCGACATGTTTTACTACACAAAATACATTATATTCTTTTATTTTTCAATCTAGAAAACGTTATCCTTAGTGGTAAGATTGAAAGGTTATGATACATCTAACATTGTAAAAATTGGGCCTTTAGTGTCTGATAAATGATAGTATGTTAAGTTAATTCAAATCTGTCTTGGGCGGTCCTAGTCAGTCTTAGGCGTGTCTAGACGGCTTAGTGTCTAGGCAGCATAAGCCGATCAAAAAGTTATACAGTCAAAATTTTCAAAAACATTCTACAATTATTCAAATTTATGATAATTGGTGACTTAATTACAAAGATTGATGACTAAAATTATGAAAAAGATTCTCAATTAGTCTAAAAATTATGATATATAATGATTTCAATATTTTGGCTATTGAATATGTCAAAGTTTTATGGTTATTTACTTATTTACTTATTTTGATCAGATTTAGGTAATATGTCGTTTTTTTAACAAATTCTATTACAATTAAGACTGTGTTTGGCACGCCACGGCTAGCTAATACGCTAGCTTATTTTTTGAGCTTTTTTATGTTGTCGTGTTTGGCAAACCTTTAACATACCCCTTAATTAATTATAGAAACACATTATCTTAAATGACCTTTTATGTAATTTTATATCTTTCGGTTAGCTTTTCAGCTAGTTTACCAAACATCAGTTTTTATCAGATAGCTTTTTATTTAACAGCTATTTTTCAGCTTTCAGCTAGTTTTTCAACTATCACGCCAAATATAACCTAAGGCTCTCCGCCTATGCGCTGATTAATCCTTAACGTCTGTCGACCAGTTAGTCCCTTAACGCCTGTCGACCGCCCCCGGACCACCACCTTACGCCTGTATATCTATCAACTTCATATTTTAAATTCTTTAACTCCTCGCAAAAAAAATCATACTTCCCACATTACGGGCGTGTTTGGCAAAAGTAGCTGTTAGCTGGAAGCGGATAGCGGTTAGCTGGTAGCAGGTAGCTGTATATCTATCAACTTCATATTTTAAATTCTTTAACTCCTCGCAAAAAAAATCATACTTCCCACATTACGGGCGTGTTTGGCAAAAGTAGCTGTTAGCTGGAAGCGGATAGCGGTTAGCTGGTAGCAGGTAGCTGGTAGTGGGAAGCTGTAGCTTTTATTTGTTATATGAATGTTTGGCAAAAGTAGATGAAAGCTTTTGAAATATATAAAATTACATAAAAGGACACTTGATTAAAAATAAATAAATATATAAATATATTTTTAAGGGTAATTATGGAAATTGATTTCAAAAGCTCATGAGCGTTTTGTTAAACGCTACATGAAGTAGCTTTTAGAATCGGAGCGTTTTGTTAAAACTAAAAGCTAAACGCTCATACTGTCAAACGAAGCTTTTTGTTTAAACTAGAGCGTTTTATCAAAAGCTAAAAGCTAGAAGCTCCTAAACGCTTCCAAAAGCTCCGTGGCAAACACGTCCTGTTAGCCCAATAAACTAGATTCAAATATATCATAAGATGTTATTGTTCCAACTTCCAAATGGCATCAACTTATGTCAAATAACTACCCAAAAACTAAATTGTTGTTATTTACATCAAAAGGAGAACAAAAGCTAAGATCATCAGTTTAAGCAGTGAAGAGAAGGACATACATAGTTACATACCAGTTATTAAACCCCACTACCAGAACTTGAAGAGCAGCCATGATCAATTGTTGAAGCCATCGCCATCAATCTCTGTTTCCTCTCTTCTTCATACTCAGGATCATCTGTTGGTAATTCATGCCTGCAAATAGGACAAGTGTTCCTTGAATCCAACCATGTCAATATACAGACGCCATGATACATATGCCCACAAGGTAATTGCTTCACAATCATCTGTTCATTATTGAACATTCCATCTTTGCATACAGCGCAAGATTCAGAAGACGTCATTGCGTTTACCTCAACCGTTTGCAATGCTTGAACAGCTGATTTGGACGCCGGCGGCGGCCCTCTCTTATCGTTGCTGTCACTCTCGGCTAGGGTTTGTAAAAAGGAATCGTATCCTGTTGCGTCAATGTAATCACCTGGGTTTCCGATGTAATCATCTTCAAATTCGAGACGCTGTTGACCGAATGTGACTGATTGGTCTTCGAGTTGTAACAGAAGCTCCGCCCAATCGAGAATCCTGTCATGACGGCCGGCGGATAAACCGTGGTCGTGGAGACGAAGACGGAGAAGATGACGCCTTTGTCTCTGACGCAACTCTTCCTCTTCGTCTTCTTCGTTTTCATCATCCGATCCTTCACGATCTCGATTTCCTCGATTACGATTCTCATCGGCATCATCTTCATGATGATTATCGTTATTTTCGTCCGATTCTTCAACCTCGCCGAAGACATGAACCGAGACATCGACAGCGGAATCAGGAAGGGGCAAATCGTTTTCGTCTTCAGGAGAAGCGATTGCTCTGAGGAACTGAACAATTTCGTTGCTGAGAGGTGGAATTTCATCATCCATTAGGTCACCGATATGTGATAGAGGGATGGAGATCGATTGAACGAAGCCGAGTTTGCACTCGAAACAGATGACGTCAGGATGATCGGGTAGGGCTTCGACGGCGACACTTTTTTCGCAATGGTAGCACCAGTATTCGGTATGAGGATTATTAGGTACAGCAGCAGAGATTGGATGCGGTGGAGACGGTGGTTGAGACGGCTGAGACTGCGATGGTGGTGGGGTTTCGGCCATCTGAGTGTAAAGATTGGGAGGCTGTTGGAAGCTAAGATTTATCGGGTGATGTCATGTAGGGAGTCAATTCATAATTCAGCATGGACCACAAATGAGTTCAGTACAACCGACTTCAAGTTTAACTCGACTTTGGGTTTAGCCAAACATCCAATTTATCAATGATGTGGACCTAACTTCTTTAAACATCTTAATTATTTAGGCTTCACTTACTGGGCTCGTCGAGGACCTCAGCAACGTCTAAGTGTGCTCGGCCACGAACACTGGGCCATTCACGAGCCGAGCTTAGTTCCGCAACTCGATGTATTATTACCGATGAGAGAGTGTGAGGGTTTGGGTATTTTAAAAATGTAATTGTTTTTTTGGGTCAAAAGTGACCGATTTTTTCAATTTTTTTTTCTTAAAATTTTCCATCTTTCTACCTTATATTAATATTAGTATATATCATATTTCATCCTAGTTTACCTTCTTTAATTTTTTACTCAAACAACCTCATTTTTGTGAAAAAATAGTTTCTCCTTCCAACCCAAAAAAAACTTCAAAATAATATCAAAAGAAACACCAAAAACATAAACTCAATCTTACATTCTTCACTTAATTTCATTCAAAGCCAAAGTGATCGGCCTATTTATTCACCTCCAAATTTACACTTTGGTGGTGTTTATTATCCATATCAAGTCCAAAACCAACATCAAATCAAAAACCCACATCAAGTTCAAACCAACCTCAAATGAATTTTTCATCCCAACTCCAACCGCAAATGGAAAATGACTTCAACTTATTTGACCATCTTCCCGACTCCCCATCAATATCCAAACCCAATTGTAACGCTTGATATCCGATATGAAGTTAATTCCAAATTGTTTATGTTTTCCCTATAGGACACGGCGTGTTAGAGCCTCAACAGGGCGTGTCGAGATGTTTTTGGTCACAGAGTTTAATGAACCAACACGACGTGTTGAGGTGCCTCAACACGACGTGTTGGCAGCTGGGGAAGGAAACCCTAATTTGCACCCTATATAATCTCCTTAAGTCCCAAGGGCTGGTCTCCTTACCAGCCTCCATTGTCACCTAAAACCCTAAATCGAGTATTGAATTTCCTTGATGGTGTTCTTGAACTTTTGAGTGGGTTCTTGTGGATTTTGTGCTCATTTGAAGGAGCTTTGGAATTTGAAGGTGCCTAACTTGGAAGGAAGGCCATAGATCCAGAATCTCACCACTATTTGAAGTCTCCTTGAGGTATCAAGTTCATACCTTGCTTTGTTGTTGATTAGATCTTCTCTTATGGGGTTTTGTTATGATTTTTGGCTTATTGTTGGGTTGTCTAAGGAGTTAAGTTGTTTAAGGGTTTGTTCCTTCAGATCTGGGTTGTTTTGGTATTCTTGAGCATAAAGGTGCAAACTTTATGAGAAAAAGGTGGCATGCATGCTTCTAGTCCTCTATTAAGTCCCTTTTTAGCTTAAGAGCTTCATTTAGTCATATATGGACGTAAAGTTGGCAAATTTACGTGTTAATCCAGCTCAAGGAGGTCAGATCTATGTTTTGGGCCTATGTCTTTAAGGATTAAGTGCTTATTGGTTAAGCTGTTGAATCTAGAGCAAACACGACGTGTTTGCAAGCCAACACGGCGTATTGGCTAGGGATTTCCTGATTATATGGATGATGGAAGAACACGGGTTGTCCATGAAGCAACACGGCGTGTTGGGTCAACATGGACTGTTGACCTTGACTTTGACTTCTTTTAGTTTACCAGGGTTGACCATTGGATATTTTGGGTTTGGGTCATTGGAGAATAAGTGTTTTGGTTTAGCGAAATTATTGGGCTTTAGGATAAGGCCCATATGGGGGTTAGGCCCAATTTGGAGAATTGGGCCATTTTGTGGGCCTTTGTGGATCTTTTTGGTTTTGGGCCTTAGTTTTGGTTCAAGTTGTGCCAGGGGTAAAATGGTCATTTTACCCCAAGTATGGATTATGGACCATAGTTTGGAAACCAATTGCTAAGTGGGTGTGATTTTGTTCTGATAGCTCGGGGAGTCGATAGGGCAGCAGCTAGGGATTTCTTTCAGTGAGCTTCAACATTCGAGGTAAGTCTCCTCACAGTTCTATGGGTCGAAGGCACCAATTGTTGGATTAGGTGTCTAAGCCCATAACTATAATTGGTATATACTTGACCCGATAGTAGCATGGTCCATTTAGGTTGCCTTCACCGGAGCAATTTGATAGGATGGATATTTGAGAAAGAGGTTATTTGTGATTTATTAATATATTATAAGAATAATATATTAATTGATAAATCATATTATTTAATTGGTATTGATCAAGAATTAATTTAGTGATCAAAAGAGACTAATTAAATTAACGGAGACTGATTATGTAAATCAGTGATACATATAGTTTGGGCTAATGATCCATAATTGATTAGTAATGGACTAAGCTTATGTGAGGTTTCATGAAGTGTTAGTCCAAATGAATTATTGGATCAAAAGCCTAAGTGAATGGATTAGGGTTTACAAGTGACTCTTGGAATTCTACACTATATATGTAACCCCTAAGCCCTAAAATCGGAGACAAGAGTATTCTAAGAAGAAGCTAGCCGATTTTGGTGCCTCCAAGCCCACTCTCATTGTCCTCCATTGTTCTTGGTGTTTGTGACTTATTTGAGGCATCACATTTGAGGTGCTAAGCTCTTATAAGGCCAAGTTCTACAAGCTACAACAAAGAGGTAATCATCTTACTTGTTTTTATGTTTCAATTATCAATGTTGTATGCTAGTTAGGCTTCATGCTTTGGAAAAAGAAAATTGCATGTATAACTAGAGAAAACTTAGATCCAAAGCATTAGGGTTGTATGTGCACCATAGTGATGTTATTGTGCTAAAAAAACCCATCAGTGGTATCAGAGCCTAGAGTGTTTTCTGTTATATTAATGCATTGTTTGTTTTTCAAATATGGAAAAAAATGTCATTTTTGGCCACTGACTGATGAACTCGTTGAGTCCATGCCATGAACTCGACGAGTAGGATCCCCTATTTGCAGTTTTTTCGAGTTTTTTTGGCCAGAATTGGATTAGGATCATTACCACAGACTGTTGTGTATCATAAAATTTGTTTATTCTGATATGGTGATGATTATCCTCGTCTAATTAAAACAAAATTATCAAATTTTAAGATAATAAGTTGATTATTTGTATTATTTGATTTGAATTGTCTTGCTATGTGAGTTGAATTAGGTCAAATTAGTAAGAGATAAAATATGTGATTATTTTACTTTTTTAAAATTTGATCTAAATGGCTTTGAAGAGTTACAAAATTTGCCATCAAGTTTTGGAATTCAAAAGGTCTTAAAGAGTTACAAAACTTGCCATCAAGTTTTGGAATCCAAAAGGTTTTGAAGAGTTTCAAAACCTGCCCTCAAGTTTTGGAATTTAAAATGTCTCATTTATGAAACATTAAAATTCTAAAATCCAAGAGTCTTTGAAGGTTTTCAAAACTTGCCCTTAACTTTTGGAATTTGAAAAGTCTCATTTATGAAACATTAAATTCTAAACCCTAGAATGTTAAAAGTTTAAAATTCAACTATTATACTATTATAATATTAAAGGATTAATACGTATATATATATATATATATATATATACATATATATATATATATATATATGTGTGTGTGTGTGTGTGTGTGTATGTATGTATAAGACAAGTCATTATTACCGTTAGTAGGTCTCATTCACGAAGTTGGTCTATAAGGGGGGTATAAGGAAATTGCCTATAAAATAACGATTGAATAGGTGTCCATTTTCACCCACCGCTTCCTTGAATGGTGGATGGTCGTTAGCCGAACGGGTAGGACAAGACATTAATTCTCATTAAAAAGTATAATGATAATTATAAAAGTAACTAAATGTTTTTTCTAAAATTCCCAATTTTAGTTACTTTAGGAAAAATGTGAAAATGGTGCTACTCCATGAAATTGCACTTTGCACCTTGCCAAGTCTTTAGTGGAGCGTGTGTGGTTAACCGGCACACTAACTTGGACTAGCAAGGGTGACAAAGGGTAGCTTGATGTTTGTCATAGATCAATGGAGCATGTTTGGTTAACCGGCACATTGATTCGGTGATAAATGACATCGAGAGTACCAAGCAAATTTGCATGGTTATTCACACCTTGTTTGTGATCCTCGGTAT